TATGTTGCTGTTGAGGGCATTCGCTCACTGCTGTCAAGTTCAAACTTGGTAGCGGAGCCCTTGAGTTTCTTTCCTGGGCGCTACCTTTGTTGCTTTGTGTGCCGCTTGTTGTTGACGATATGCATCTCTGTGACTTTCGTGCTTGCCGGGTTGGACTATCTGACCATGGATTCTGCCGTTGATGTTACTGAAGCAGTTTCTTCTGTTGAGCGTGCGGCCCAGAGCTTTGTGACCACCACCGCAGTTGCAAGTGCTCCCCAAGCGACAACGATGACAAAGAATGAGCCCAATGATGACAGTGCAGTGAAGCGTTTTCAATTGTCTGTGACTTTGAATGTAGCGATCAGCTCCGACGCTCGCATTGACATTGCCCTAGCTAACAGCACAGGTTTTTTCGTTGCACATGAGCCTGACGCTGTGTTGCAAGATGGAAGATCAGAACAGTTTGAAGCCCTTCGGAACCAAGCATTGCATGCAGTGGGCGAAGCTCTCTATGAACGAGCTATCGCCGGACACGACCAACAGGTTGCCAAGCGTCGCTTGAACACAGAGTACTCCTCCACAGCATCACATAAAGCATCATTCGTGCCGAGTTTGTTTGATCGCGCAGCCCGATGGTTTCAGATGGGAAGAAGAGCTGTGACCTTAGGTAGATCAAGCAATTGGACACTAGGTGTGATGGTGTTGGTAACGGTCATAGGCAGTGCAGCTAGTGTTTGTCACATGCAAGGACCGTTCCGTCCGCATCCCACGCAGCAAGGCCCTCGATCGAATGTACACCAGAGCGATGCTGGGCCGCCCTTCGTAGGCACTGCCACGTTGAAAGTGCCCCCCCCCCAGTTGGTGTGTTGAACGAAATCATGTCTATTCCCTGAGGAGTTGGATCTCCGACCTGATCCTGTGGGCCTCAGCTTCCGATCTTGATCCGGTGCGCCACGGCCCCGTGGCCGCCTTGCAGGTGCAAGGCTCTGCAAAGGAGCTGATCAGGGAGCTTACACCGCAACAGCTCCAACATGGCGATGTGGATCCGAATACCGGTCAGCAGTTGACTGGGCTGATGTTGCTAGTGGCCGTCCTGGCCCGTCGATATGCTCCACTCGAGGCCGAAAACACAACCAAGTCGATAGCTGAGTTTTTATCCTTTCGGCGTCAACCAGGTGAGGCTATTGATTCGGTATTAGTTAGGTTCGATATTTTGCGTAATCGTGCAAATGTTCGTGCCGGGTTTGCTGTGAACTGGACAGGACTCTCATGGCTGCTTTTGCAGTCTCTGGGTCTGAACGCCGAAATGTGGGATAGACTTCTTGCCCCTCTTGGAGGTCAAATGCCACAGAACGAGCACGAGCTTGGTGGCCTAATGGAAAGGATTCGTAGACTTTTCCACTTGAAAGAAGGTCGTATGCAGTACCATGGCCATCAAGGTGCAATGGGTGATCCGGGACAGTTTTTCACAGAGGGATACTTCCCGACCTTTGCGCCTGAAGGTGCTGCGGGATCCGCCTTTCTTGCAGGTGGTCCCAGCCCGCCAGATCCATGGAGTTCGTACGTGCAATCAGGCCACAGTCCATTGAACAGCAGTCCAGATCCCAATGCATGTTGCGGCCCGATGTCCTCTCATGCCTTTCAAGCCGATCGTGCCGATCAAGCCGTTTGCTGTCCGACATGTGGAATGTATTTCCAGGACGATGGGTTCAGCACCGACACCAGTTCGGACGATGGGACTGAGATGATGTCAGATGATCAGATAGATCCCTCCGAAGCCTATTTGCAGTATGCTTTCGCAAGGAAAAGGTGGAGGCGTGTATCCAACAAGTTTCCTCGACGGTATCGCAAGCACGGCAAAGGGAGTAGGGGTTTTGGCAAGGGATTCAAGCCGAGTTCGTACGCTGCTTTTCTCCCACCAAATGCATTTGCTGGAGGCAAGGGTTTTGGCGGTGGAAAGAAAGGAGGAAAGCAAGGGTTTAAGCGAAACCCCAAAGACAAGAATGGCCAGACTTTAAAGTGCAATATTTGTCAGTCGGAAGAACATCTTTGGCGCAATTGTCCAAAGCGCAACCAGCAAGGCGAAGGCACGTTTGCTACTGACAGTGCTTCTGGTCTGCCATTTAACTCAGGGTTTGCATCCACCAATCACAATCAGTTAGCTTTGGTGCCCAGTGTGTTATGGGGAGGTTCGAATCAGGCTACAGCGTTGCCAGGAGTCCATTTCTTTGGAACCGAGCTTGAAAATTTGCGGAGCGTTTCTGAAAACGCCGCCAGTGTTGTGTCTGCAACAAGTAGCAGCCGTAAGCGGACACCAGCCGAACGTCCTGAGCCATCAACACCTTCCGGTGCACCGAGCAAAACAGTGCCTAGATGGAGTCCGAGTTTCTTTCCTGATGCAAGTGCGGTGTGCAGTGCAGCATCGTCACCATGTCAGGCAGAAGTTGAGCCGCTGCTTCCTGATGCACCTGAACCTTCATCACCACCACCGCAGGAGCCTGCTCCCTCGCGCACGTTCGTATTAGGTGCTGGATCATCGACGATGCCCGACCCTCACGTGCCAGAGGCCAGTCCGTCCGTTGATCCAACTAGCCATCAGTGTCAAGAAGATGCCTGTGTGTCTCAAGAAAAGGAGCGTGTTCGTGATCAGAGCATTCGTGGATTGCATAACGTGCTGTTGGGCCTCGGGCGACAAGCTGAAGACCATGATGCTTTTCAGTACCACACCGGTGCCTCCGCTCAGCCACATGGCCGTACCGTGCTGAGCCTTGAGAACATTCTTTGACCTCAGTCTCCTCCAACAGACATGAGGGGTTTGTTGGGAATGCCCGGCCTGCATCATGCCATGTGGCCACCGTTCGGAGCTCCTCGCGCAGGAACATCCACAGTGGGATCCGAGCAGAGTCATGGTCCGGTGCCGCAGCAATCCAACAGTGCCACAGGACTTTCTTCTCATGGCCATGGCAGCGGTAGCTTTCCGTGGTGGGAAGCCAATGACAAGCCGAGTGAAAGTGTGAGTGCGCCTCAAGCTGCATATCACCTTCGGACCAGAAGGCAGAATGGTGAAGTCGGTTTGTTGGTTGATCCTGGTGCTCATGACAATTTGATCGGCGAAGCTACAGCTCAGCAGATGTGCGAAGAGCTGAACACCCAGCTGCGCTTGCGGAACATGGACAAGCCGCTTCCAGTGGAAGGAGTTGGAAAGTCAGCTCAAGTGGCCAACAAGGCCGCATGTATTCCCATGGCTGTGATGGACGTGTCAGGAACCAAGACAGATGCAACGTACACGGCACCGATCATCCAAGGAAGTTTGCTGCCACCACTGTTGGGTAATCGCACCTTGCGTAAAATGCAAGTCATCATGGATTGTGGTACTGGAAAACTCATCGTTCCAGGTCCCGGCGGGATTGAGGTCAAATGCAGTCCCGGAAGTCGTGTGTATGATTTAGAGTTAACGAGCAGCGGTCACTGGGTTTTGCCATTGCATACCAGGTCCCATTCGTCCGATTCAAAGCCGTTGGACGAGAAGGAGCTTTCGTTTAGCATGTCCTGCCGTCAGGATCGATCGCAATCACCATCTCCGAAGCGCCGAGACGGCGCCGTCGGAGCCTCAAACTGACCTGTCCAAGCGGTCAGCAGGCATGTGGATGCCGAGCCTGTTGATGACGCTGTTAAACATTGCATCCAATTCCAAACGAGCAATGCCGAAATGCTTCAAGCCAGTGTGAAGCCAGGGTCCTCAATGCCAAGGGCTGAGAATTTGGCCTGGATCTTTTCGGACAAGGCTGGATTGCGCCAACGTTTACTTCAAGAGTTGAACTTTAGAACAGTGCATTTTCATTACGACTTGCATAGCCGTTCGCAGTGCCAGAAATTGCTGAATGAACTTGCATTGCAGAAGCCCATGCTCTTGTGGATCCGGTTCGCGGGTCCCTGCGCCGGCTCGGGCAATCGCCAAGATGCCCTACGAGCCGAACATCTTGTCCGAATAATCAATGAACATAAGCATGCCGGTGGTATTGTTGTGATTGAGGCCAGTGAGAGAAGTCAAGTGTGGAACCTTCAAGCCGTAAAAGAGTGTATGCATTCGCTACATGCTACTGTGCACCAATGGTGTCGTTATGAGCGGTCTTTGTCTGCCGGCGAGAAGCCCTGCAGTTCTAAGGTCAAGCTGCTCACCAACTTCCAGGTGCCAGACGCAAGCGAATGCCGATGTGGACTCATCGAACATGCACGTTTCAAAGAGTTGGGTTCGCGTGCCAATGTCAGATTTGAGAATGTGCTTAGATCTCTAATGCAACTTGTTTGTTTACACCATGCAGACCTTGGTGACAGGATGTCGTTGCAGATGCCAGCCAAAGGACAACCTGAGTCTCAAGATATAGTGCCTTTGATAGAAGATATCAATGTTGATAAACATGGTGTGAAGAAGACAGTTCGTTTTGGCAGCATGTACCCCACTCATTCGGTGCAGCCTTTTCACAAACCACCTCCAAACCTGCCTCCATCTTCTGAGTTGCAACATGATTTTTGGATATCCAGCGGTAAGCAATGTTTGATTCGTGTTCATGTGAACCCCAGAAATCAAATGTTTGTTCCAACTGATGTGGAGTGCCCTGTCGCAGTGAACACGTTGCTCAGCAAGAGGCAGACCAAGATGCAGCAGTGTTTCGCTATCACCACAGGCACTGATCCTCAACAGTTGCTGATTGAGGATGACTGGAGGTCAACCACCAAAACTGATATAAACTTTCACTGGGTTGGCACAACCACATTCACCGCTTCAGCTTGTGAGCATCAATCCTATCCAACAGAGAATGCCATCAGACAAAAGCAAAAGAAATCCGAAGGTCATGTTGTAAAGCCCCGCAAGAAAGTGGTCGAACAACATCAAGATGACTGTGGTGAGAATTTCGACTTGCTTAAAGTAAATAATCCTGAAGCTTTGAAACAAGAGCATTTTTATGAAGAACAAGATCTCTTTGAGCACATTTGTTTTGCGGTTGGAAGTCCGTATGGCCAGTATTTTGGATCTGAAGCTGAGCATCTTCCCCAAAGCTGGTTGACTGCAACATCTTTTGTGACAGTAGCTTCAGTATATCACCAACGTTCCCAATTCGAAGTCGACGACGCCGGCATAGATTGCATGGAACTGTTTGGCGGTTCCGGTACGACCACCTTTTTGCTGTTCAAATACTATGGGATGAAAACTGGGGTCAACTTCGAACTCATGTGCGGCATAGACCTCACCAAAGGTGAAGATATTCACTATCTGTTTGCATATATAAGAAGAAACAAGCCTAAGGTAATCATCCTTGCTCCACCATGCAAGGGATTTTCGAAATGGGGTCATCTCAATCAAAAGATCAACCATGATGCCTGGGTAAAAAGCAGACAGTTGAGTGTTCCTCTTGCCCGACTGAGTGGAGATGTTGCAATCGAACAGGTGTCTTCCAATCGGCATTTCCTAGTCGAACAGCCGCTCGCGAGTGGTTTGTACGATGAGCCCCAATGGAAGCAGCTTAAGAGCATGATGTCCTCCGTAGTTTTTGATCAATGCATGACTGGACTCCGAATGTCCAAGTCTCCATGGTGGCCAGTGCGCAAGCCGACAGAATGCAAAGCTTCACATCCGAGTCTCTTGACTCACCTGTATAATCTCAGGTGCGATGGTACACATCAACATGCGCACATCGGAAGCTGGTCGTGTGATGGAAGACCAACAGTTCGAAGTATTGATATGCAGGTGTGGCCTAGAGAACTCTGTGAAAGAATCGCAGCCGGTGTCGTAGAATGTATTTTTCTCATGATGGTCAAACAGCCTGGTTACTTTGCAGCTGCAAAACGGAAGACAGTTGCAGAAAGTCCAACATACACATGTCCAGCTTGCAGAAGTCACTTGCGTAAGACCGATGCCAGACACACGCGAGACGACACTTGTCGCTTTCGAGATGTTAAGAGCATTAGCTGGTCTTGTCCAGGCTGTGTGGCCAAGCGCCACCGGGCACATGAGTCGCATACCAACGATGATACCTGTCAGTGGGCTCTTGCCCGCTCTATGCCTGAAGGAGCTTCCCGTGAACGAGGGCCCACACATCCTCGCGATGGTCGCATTCCAGCCAGTTCTGATCCAACGGCGCGCTTGAGAATGGACGGTCGCGCCGATGGTGTTCCAGGCGCGGAACACAGGACAGTAGGCGATCCAAGCCATCGCACTCGAAGTGGTCCTTCTTCGGATAGTCGCGCTGCAAGGCGTGTTGACGCCGAGGTGCAGGTGGAAACGCCTGGAGCAGCTTCAGGTTCAGCCGACGGTGCAGTTGTCATTCCAGCAGAAGGTGAAAGGGGTATTGCTGAGGCCGAGATTCCGGCCTGGTCGCGACATGATCTTGGGTTCGCTCTTCAGCAATTGCGCTCCATTCGTGCTGGTGTAGTCCGTCGGACCCTCAGAAAGCTCCATATTCGATGGTACCATGCCGGCGCCAAGAAAATGCAAACCCTTCTTCAGGCAGCCGGCGTCAGCCCAGACATTCTCCTCATGATACCTTCCATAGTTGACACATGTGATATATGTCGGAACTGGCAACGTGTTGGTCCAAGGACCGTTGCGTCGACCAGACTGCCTGAAACATTCAACAAAGAAATTCAGATGGATCTTCTTTTCTATAAAGACCATGTTTTGCTTCATTGCATTGATGCTTGTACTCGATGGTCGGCCGTTCACAAGCTATCCAATCGTGAGCCTAGTTCGATTGTAGACGGTTTTGCTGCATGTTGGCTGCGACTGTTCGGCCCACCAGCAGTTGTTTTGTCCGATCAAGAGGGTGGTTTGATGTCTGACCTTGCAGGTGAGTGGTTCGACAAGCGAGGAATTCAACTGTTATTTCGTGCCCGCGAACAACATTGCGGCATGGTTGAACGGCATAACGAAATTCTGCGTAGGCAGTTACATGTATTAGAAGATCAATCCAATGCTGAAGGTTTAGCCATTCCCTTCACCACCATTCTTTCTGAGGCTGTGTTTGCAAAGAACGCAATGTTTCAGTGTGGCAATGCCACACCGTACGAAGCTGTTTTTGGTAGAACGCCTCCTTTGTTGGCCACAACTGGAGAAGAAAGTGGTGAAGGAATCACCGATAGAGATTCAGCGCGCATACGTCAACTGGCAGTAAACAGCATGCTTCAGGCCACCGCTGATCAGAAAACCAGGTTGGCCGATCGAAGCAAAACTCGCCGCGCAGGTGAACTTCTTGAACTTAGGATAGGCGATCTGGTAGATTTTTATCGTAAGCCTATGACTAAAGATATTACTGGGTGGCACGGCCCAGCTGAAGTAGTCAGTCTTTCTAGTCTTCAAGATGGTTTGCTGTATATCAAATGGCAAGGACGTGTGCTAGCTGCAAGAATTCAAGATGTCAGATCGGCCATGATTTTTGCAACTTTTTTGATGCGAGTTTCCGAGCCCATTCGAACTTTCAGAGCAGAGGTTGAAAGCCAATGCGGTCATGCTTTGAGATTGGGATGGATGCGCCAAGGCGGCAATTGGGTTCAGTGTCAAGCCAACAGGTCTCATTCAACTTTGCTTGCAGTAGGTTTGTATGTTTCGGCTGTATGCATGAATCTGCAAGGAGTGATTGGATTCAGGTGTGGGACGGAGTTGAACAATCTCCCAGCCGTGGCTTTTGATGATACCTTGTTGCTTTGGTGGAATGCCAATTCAGATGGACCGTCCGACTGGTACCACTGTTTTCTTCCAGGAAATCAGTTGCTTAATGTGCCGAAGCTGACCGGAAGTGTCGGCGCTGCAGTGATTCAGTTCTTCATGGTTGACATGACCGAGGTAATGTCTCTCCGGCAGGTAGTGCCTGACATTCCTCATCTTGGAGGACTGTATGAACCCAGCATGCCGTCGACCACTGATATGACTGACGAAGTGTTGAAGTCCAGAGGACCCAAACCTCTGACCAATCAGTCAAGTGTCCCGACCGAACAAATAGGTAGTGCAGACCTAGATGCCAATAACGATGTTCCTACATCAGAAAATCTGTTGGTTAGCCAAAACTCCCAAATAGATAGTCCCAGCTACAAGTTCGACTACATAAGTTTAATCAGTGATATTGCTTTCCTTGGGACAGTCCACAGCGGAACACCGCCAAACCCAGAGTATCCAATGTCCCTTTCTCAGTAGACGCTGATGAACTTGTCGAGCAACCTGTCTTCTCGTTCGCCAGCACTATGGCGCAGTTCATCATCCTGCATGGAAAGCAGATCCAATCCAAGCTCTCGAAGGATCAAATGCTTTCGTTCGTACATACAGAAGGTGCCAGTCCAGTTGCCGTGATCGAAAGAACCAATAACATTCTGAATCGAGAAGAGGCACTTTTGCATGTAGAAGAATGCCGAGAGTCAATGATCCTTGAGCTTATGCGTTGGGTTAAACATAGTGCGTGGAAAAGGGGTGATGCAAGGAACGCAACCAATATTCTCAAAAGCAAGTGGGTGTTGAAATGGAAAGACATTTCCGACGGTAGTCAAAAGGTTCGTAAAATAAAGGCCAGACTTGTTGCGCAAGGATTTTTAGACAAACAAGCCACCGACACATTCGCTGGAACATCGACTCGTTGGGGTCAAAGATTGCTCATCGCAATCGCAGTGCAGCGTGGATGGGCATTATGGTCTGCCGACATTTCCGAAGCATTTTTGCGTGGACTGACGTTCGATGAGCTTCACCAGGAAGGCGGTGCACTCCGTCAAGTGGAGATCTCTTTGCCGCCAGGAGGCGAGCACCTCCTGCGAGTCATTAAGGGCTATGAGGACTTTGATCCGCAACGAGAAGTTCTGTTTATGTTGAAACCAGGATTCGGATTGAAAGACGCCCCAAGGCTCTGGCTCATGGCTTTGAAACGTGTTCTCGCAAAGATCGGAGTGATCGCCACTCAAGTTGACAGTCAGTTGTTCTGCATGCATCAGAAGGGAAACCTTGTGCTGATGATGACAATCCATGTAGACGACATAAAAATGTGTGGTGATCCAGATCTGATGAAAAGTGTCGTAAGCCAGCTCGAAAGTAATTTCGGTTCAGTGAAACTGGAAAAGAATAATTTTGTGCACCTGGGTTTGGAACATGCCTTGCAGGAAGATGGTTCTATTACTGTAAGTCAATCTCACTATATATCCGAATTGCGGCATATTCCCGAAGACCAGCTTAAGACAATGGAGAAGGATGCCTTATAGTGGATGAACATTATCGGCAATTGTTCATGTCTTTGTTGGGCGGTGTTGCCTGGATTGTCCAGACTCGGTTAGACGTTGCAGTATACGTCGGAGCCCTTCAGCGAAAGTTGCAGAAGCCGTGTGCGCAAGACTTGCTGAATCTTAATCGTTTGGTAACCTACATCAAGAATAAACCCTTGGTAATGACATTCAAACGATTGACTAATCCCTGGCGTCTGGTAGCAATCTCCGATTCGAGTTTCAAAGGCGAGGACCAAGACTGTCTCGCCATTCGCAGCGGATTGATTTGCCTTGTGGACAAAGATTTTCCAAAACTAGGTGCCAATGATATCCAAATAGTCGAATATGTATCAAAGAAACAATCTCGAGTCTGTCGATCAACGTATGCAGCAGAGTTATATAGCGCGTTAGATTTGTCCGGTCTTCTTTTCAACATAGCTTTGACCTTGTGTGAGGTGCTAGAAGGAACGACATCAGCGAGCATTCTTGCCGAGAGATTTGAGAATGGAAAGTTGACGCTTGGAACAGATCTTGTGATCGATGCTGCAGCCGTCTTCGATCACATCGCAGCTCATGAAGCCAAAGTGCCCCATGATGCATCCATGACCATTCATAGTTTGAAGGCGCGGGAACTCTTGTCAGATGGCAAACTTCAGAGAATGATTTGGTGCGACACCAGATCCATGCTTGCAGACGGCCTCAATAAGGGCACGATCGATCGTGCCGCTTTGCAATGCGCTGTGAGCCAAGGAAGATGGACAATTGACCAGCCGGTCAGAATCCATGGTTTGCAGACGCCTAAAGCTGAGCTTGGCCAAGGACAACCTGAGTCGAAAGGTGTTGCATAGTGATGCCATCATGATATGTATGCT